ATTAGAATACATATTGATTTTTTCAGTTTTAGAGTGCTGCAGAGCAATAGTGAGGTGAAATTCTTAGATTTATGCTCTTGCAGCAGTATTTACACCTTTAAGCAAGCCCAGCTCTCTACTGCCAGACCTACAGACCTACAAGATGGAAATATTCAACTGCCACTGGAGGTCAATTTTATAAAGTTAATAAAAGCCAGAACAGTGTGAAAAATGGCATGTAAGGAGATGGCACTCAGTCTAGGCTCTGACCACTCATTCTTAAGCCTTCTTGTAAGGAACTCTTTTTTTTTTTTTTTTCAATATTCCACTATCAGAAGAGGATTGTGGTGTGATTCTTCAGCTTTTGTTTCCCAAAAGTTATGCAGCAGTGTGAACAGTGCTTTGAAACATCATGTCTGGAAGTGTGCTGGTGAGTACTTTCATTTGCTGTGCCCATTCATTGTCATCAATAGTTACTGCTGCCTTCCAATGAGAGAAACCACAGCCATGCTTCCTTCTGGGTTTTGTTAGCAGTTGAACACTTTTGCCAGCTGCAGAGGTTGTTTTTTGGCTAATGATCTTACTGAAACAACAACCAACATCCCTGCTCAACAACAGGCACCTCAGAGGGATGGAACTATACCCAGGTGTGAACCCTTCAGCTGAAAAGAACTGGAAGGGAATAAAATGGGTGAAATACATGGCCTTTTGTCTAGTTTTAAAAATACAAAGTTTTTGGAAATGTAAAGCATTTTATCGCAACACTTTCAAAGTATTATTTGAGGCTTCATTTGAAAGAATAGCTGTTCTACTTTTAAAATCTGTCTTGATTTTCTGCTGAAGGAGAATCTTTAAATTGTTTACAGTGAATCAGAGCTTTTCATCCGAAGCCAAACAAAAAGAGTCAGGTATATGCAAACAATGTTTTCATTTCCCTGTTTCATCGAATGGTTATTATTCTCATTTCGGTTAAACCTGAGCTTTGCCCTGGGCATGAAGCATGCACGGAGTCCCAATTCCACCTGAGGGTATTGAACAGGGCACAGGGCAATTGCACTTGCTTTATGAGGGAAAATAAAAAGATGTGACAAACATTTAAAATTAGAGATCTGCCTGGGAAGAACAGAGACAACAACTAAGGCAGACATCACCTCATTCCTCTTCCTATGAGTGTTGGGGGCTCTGCTTCGACTGCCCTTTTTAAATCTTTCCTTTCAAGCAACCCAGGTCCCTCAGTTCCCTTGGACCAAGGTTCTGTTAGAGTGGTGCTCACCATGTTTTCCATGTAGCGCAGAGGTCACCAAGCTCCATGCAAAAGTAAAAACAATAGGCATGATACAGGTACTGGGATATACCTAACTGATAGATCTATGGTTGAACTAGATGATCTTACTGGTCTTTCCATTCTGTCATTCAGTGATTGGCATACACCAACATATGGCACCAATTTCTTCTTTAGAATATAGTAACAGGCTTCCTTGGCTATACTAGAAGAGATATTTGCATAGCTGAGGGCAGTATTTGGCAGCACATTACAGTTTCTATGGAAATACATGTTTTTGTTTGCTTGGTATCTGAAATATAATGGCAGACATGGCAAATTCCACACTCAATGCTATAGATGACACCATGGCTGTGTGATGCTATGCCCCATGGAAAACTCTGTTGTGTAACAGAAGGCTTCAGTGTTGACCAGTTTGAAGTACAGAGGAAGACTAATGAGCCTTTGGACAGCTGAATGCTTGCAGTTGCTATTGCACAGCTTTTCCTTTCCCTAAATTTAAAGATTTACATTTCTATATAGGCCCTGATCTCACCAGTTTGTAACACTGATGAGATATTAAAAATAAGGGGGGGAAAAAAAAAATGAGTAAGAAAAATGACCAAAAAGAAGTGAAGTGTCTGTGATGTTAAATCTGATAAAGACATTCTGTGGTCAAGTAATGTTTGTATCTCACACCTCAGAAAAAAACTCACTGTTGTGTGTGTGACCCAAACCTCTGCAGAAACATTGGTGACGTCCAAGGTAAAATTCCTATTGAAATCCGCAACGCTAATGTGGATTTAAACTAATCCCATTGAAATGCACAGAAGATGGCAACTCATACCCAGAGTCAGCAAAGCAACTCAGCTTTCCAGGATGTATGGAAACGTCTGTGTGAGGACAACCCACAGAAGCTGCTTTGCTAATGAAAATGGAATTGAAAAAAAGAAAAAAAAGAAATATTCTGAAGGATGTTGGCTGTAAAAATAAATCCCGTGTAGGAAGCTTCACTGACAGAATAAAATAATTGTCACAGATGACTCTTCTGCACTATCAACAATAAAAAACACTTGAAATAAAAGGAAACCTCAGCTCAGCTCCCAGCTCCTCTCTGGAAATAGCAGCAACAGTGAATTTTGATCTCAGAGATAATTGCATGGGAGAAAGCAAAAATAAGAGCCCCTCCCTAAGTTGTTGCAAAACCTGGTAAAGCAACAAGGTTATCAATTCTGGGTTTTATATTGCATAGGGCAGTGCATGGATCTGACCCTGAGAGCTGCAGTTCCTGCCGAGCTGTGGGTCCTGGGGGCATTTCCTAACCAAGGGATGGAAGGGATGTATTTCTGTGATGTGCCTCAAACTGAACCCAGAATGCCCTATCTGAGCTGGAAATGTAAACTCACCACTGGAAGATTTTTGTTGATAGACATAGCAAGCAAAAATATTACACAAATCTCATCCTCAGAATTGAAACTCTGATTTATTCTTTTTTTTTTTTTTTTTCCTACTGTCTGTATGAGGAAGAACTATTTACATTAAGGAGAATTTGCAACAGATTTAAAAATAAATCCCTTGTGTATGTGTGCTGGTAACATTGAAAATATGTCCCTGGAGAAGATCTAAACGACCCATCAGCAGTGACGTGGTAATGATAACACTGTCCTTCATCCCTGCATCCTCAGTCTGTGATGTCATTCGTGTTTGGAATACAGCATCAGTGCAACAAAGAGAACATTTCACTCTAAGCAGATGCTTAAACCTTACATTCATATCAGCAGGACATAGGCAGCTGCATAAACGCTTTATTGAACAGGAATAGACTAAAGGAGGCACTTACATGCTTTTCTCCATCAGGACATAAACTAGCTCTGAAGCAAATCAATGAATTTTCTCTTTCTATATGCCCGTGTGTAAAACATACACCCAAACTGAACGCTAAATCAGAGCCTACTTTCTGCCTCAGTCTAAGTAAATTCTTGTTTGCTCCAGACTCCACTCCAGCCAGATATTTTTCATTTTTGGCTCTGCTAACAGGCATAGCAGGCTCAGCCTCCCCATCTTTAATGAACTTATTTTGATGGACACCATGGAACACTCTCTGCATGCTCTGCACAGAGAAAAAGGTCTGCAGAACCCATCAACAACTACCACGCTGGTTCGTCATGGAGAGCTGAATAAAACAACACAGGTGGGAAAATTAGAAACATTAATCTGCCTCTAGATCCAGACTTCTACCAGTCTGAAAAGGAAGGTCTCCAAATTGTATAGAAGTGCACCTAGTAATAACAATAAATCAGCTCCCACCCCTTCTGTTTTTCAGCCCAGTTGCTGTAGGTATACACAGAGGCACCCATCAGGTTTGCTGCGGCTGAGGCTTTCTCAGCATTACCATTATTAAATCCTGTTTTCATAGTTTTATAACTTGCCTGTGAAAATTTACTCCAGGCTCAGGGCTGACATTTAAAGTGTCAGCTAAGAAGAGATTAATTCCCGAAGTCTATTCCTGAATGTTCATGGTTATTGGTTAAAGTTGCATAAAAATAAAAGGAATTGAAAGCTGATGGGTTGGATTGTTTCTCCAACTAATAAATATTTCCAGCACCCCTGCTTCTCATTGCATTGCTTTTACTTATGGTAGAGATGTTCTTGCTCCCCAAGGGCTCGGCCAAACCCACCTCATTGCTTCAGGTGAGCCAAACTCACAGAGAAGGCTTCTCCACAAATTGTGCAGCCTCACAAGAGGGTGATGCTAATGCAGCACCTCCAATACCACCCAGTCTCACTATCATAGAGTCATTAAAGTTGGAAAAGACCACTTAGGTCATCAAGCCCAACCATCAACCCATCCCCACCATGGCCACTGGCCACATCCAGCACACATTCAGCATCCTTGCCATGCAGCCTGCACACTCACAGCACACCTGTTGGGTACATCCCTACATTTCAACATCTTCCTGCCCTCAACTCTTCAACATTTCTACTTAATGTAAATTTACGGAGACCCATTCTTTATGGAGACCTCCCTTCCTTCCAGGAGTGCTGCACTCCTTGGCGTTGCTCAGGAGTAAACTAGTTTGGCCAAGGCCTCTCTAAATGACAAACTAAGTTTTTCTCTAGTGGGCATTTAAACTTTTGAAAAAGCAGAATGATTGTAAAGACAGTTTAGAGCCAAACGTCTGGCAGGCATTGCATTTGTCACTTGGGAGACAAGGGCCATCAATCTAACTAAATTGCTGTGTCTATATGAAATACTTGGCAATAATCAGGAAGTGGAAAAAAACAGAAAACAAGCACAAATCGTATGCTTTGCACCCCCAGCCTTGCAGGAATGAAAATGAAAATTTTTTGCAGCTTCCTCTCTGCTGGTTTGGGCTGTGTGCTGGTGGTGCCAGCTATCTGCCCAAGTGGCAGAGGCAAGGAGCATTGCCATATAGAACACAAAGGGACCTTTCTGAGCCCATCAGGAGGGCATCACTTGCTAACAAAGCAATAGCCATGAGGGCCACTCACAAAACTATTGCACAAGGCCCCAGAAAGCACAGGTCCTGCTCCAAAGAGCCTCCTGCCCAGGCAGATGAGGAAATCAGCAGTAAAATATTTTGCCATCTTGATGTACCCACTCTGTTCATCATTCACCCCTCCACTCATTGCTGCTGGTCAGCCTGCTCCCAGCTGGGTCAGAGCACCAGGCCCTGATGCAGAGCACCTGCAAAGATCCCAGGGCAGTTTGCTGTGCTGAGTCAGCCCCAGGCTGGTTTTATTGGTGGCAGGTGGGTATGGCTCCTGCTGCTTTTGTCTCCTCCTCCCTTGCTTTGTTGGATGCAGTCTCGTTTTAGGTAAGCATGCTTGGCTTCTGTACATTTGTTTTCTGTTCTCTTCCTATCCCAAGTACTCACAGTGATTAGATTTGGGTTACTTGGAGGTTTGTTTACAGAAATACAGCTTTTCCCCTGCCTTCTTTTACAATGATATGTCCTATCCCTACCCTCTCCCTCAAACTGTCAATCTGATTTGTAAGTGATATCAATAGTTTCCTTACACTGTTTTTGGTCTTACTTTGTAAATCATATTCCCTTTGTGCCATACTGTCAAACGCTTCCCTGAAATCATGATGGATGATGTCCTCTATTACATACTTATCAAGCAATGCCCTGATGTACTCAGAGAATTCAAACACATTTGTCAGGCTCAAGCCTTCCCCCATGAATGCAGCAGTCACTCAGCAGGTCCTGGTGATATCTGCTCCAGGCTTGGAGGACATCAATTCTGCTGCAGACTTCAGGTGTTTTTGGTGTCTGTTATGTGTCATTGCATGGGATTCCATTTCTCAGACGGCAAGAAAACAATCAGTGAGACATACTCAGAGGGACAGCATTCTTTAAAAAAGAAACAAGGACAAGCCCCCAAGTGTCAAATGCAGTTTTTTCTTATTTTGGGAAGAGACAAATTACCCTTTCCATCACCCAAGTGGTCCTTTCCACCTGGAAGAATTGTATGTGAACATTTCACAGGTACTGAAGACTGTGTGTTCCCCAGAAAGCATGCAACACCTGCAGCCAGCAGACATCAGCAGCTCAGTGTGAGAAGGCACATCTTTGGCTGGAAGAAGCAATACTCTGGGCTTGGCCTCAGCCCATGGGGAGGCCCTGATGCTGAGGAGCACCATGAGAGATGAGCAGGAAGGGGTTTAAGAGGAGCAGCTCTGATCTGACAAACAGTATGGCTGGGAAGCCTCAAAGGCTCTGTAACACATGGGCTGGCATACGTCATCTCCTCATGTAGTTGGGTGGGTTGCACTGTGAGTGATGATGCATAGGAGTGTAGAAGCCACTGCAGACATCAGAAGTGCCAACTGTACTCTTGTGTGACATCTGTCCCATGTGCACTTTCTGGATCTCCCCATGTTACTTAGGTTGTTATCGTTCCCCAGAAATGCTTACCTAATCTGCTCTTAAAATTGGAGCACACAAATGCAGTCTTGCAGTGCTTTTATATTTCTTTTCAGCTTCCTGGGAGCTCTCAGCTGGTGCTGAGCAGGAGAAAAGGTTCTCTCCGTTCTTCCAGAGAGGGGAACTGGAGTGCCATCCCCTAGCCCTGTGGGAAGAGGGCATGGTGGAGATATTGTCACTCAGGGATATGTCCTCCAGGATGGCTTTTGGTGACATTGGCAGGAAGAGTTCCTGGATATTGCCTCTGACCAAAGGTTTGGTGCTTTGTCCATCTGTTTCTTGCCTGCAAACACAAGGCATAAGAGACATATGGTAGAATAGTCCACGCTGACTGTTAGTCTAGTCCAGCATTATTTTCATTTGAAACAGATAAATACGTACCAAGGCCCTGCACCCTGCAGGAAAAGGTACCCTGCCAGTATTTATACTGTCTACAGCAACTTCCAAAAGAAGCTCTTAGCATGCAGCACAGCATGCCTAGAAGTGTCAGGCACATAGATCAGGTATATGTGGGACTGCCCAACCTCCAGGCTACCCATTAATTTTTATGTGTGTTTTGCCTGGAAGTCCCCATCCACAAAGGGAAAGAAATAAGACATGTCTGGGTTCTGGTGCACTAAACCTACAGAGACCTCCATAGCAAATCTGCACTTGGTGCCCACCCAGCTCAGGTACTGCTGCTGGCTTGCATCCCCAGTAAATAGCCTTGCCCACAGGCCTTGCAGACACCCACAGTGATGTGCAAGTTAATGTGGTTTCACGTTGCTTCTGGGAGCAGTTGGTTTGGGAGCAGAAGAATATTTTAATGACGGTCTACAAATTGAATTTTAATTGTGAACAAATGGTGAGCTTTGTCTCTGCATCAGTAGTCTCACAAACAGGCTCCTGACCCTATAAATAAATGCTAGTTGAACCTCTGCATTTTAAACCAGTCAACCCCCAGAGAAAACTCTGCCTTTCATACTCCCTCCCCATAAATATGCCCAAATTATCTCCATCATGCCATGCCAACCAGGGCCACCAACAGCCCCTCACCATGAATAGGGCTTCTGCTCCCTTTTCTATGTGGCACCATGAATATCCAGCACCTGTGCTCACTCCAAGCCATCAAGAAACCGTCCTGGGACATGGGAAGGCTGAGATGGGAAATGGGAAGTGTATCTCCCTGGTGTATCTGGATGGATCTCGTACTTCTCAGATGGACTGGCTGTCCTCGGATCAGAGCACGTACTGTTTAAGCTCTCATCAAGTGACAGAAGCAATAAGAGCAATTAAACAAAGAGGACTAATGGGAATTTTAATCTTCTCTCTGCTAAATGATGATGGATGTCAGCAAAGGATACATGGAAGAGAATATTTGAATAAGCTCCCCGTGTTCTGTCTACTGTAACCAATGTGTTTGGGTTTGCGGAAAGTTTCTCTGCTATAAATAAACCACAGTATTTTGGGGGCCCACCAGTGACACCAAACGTGTTTCCTGCTTTTTAGTGGTTGCAGTGAGATGGTTTCATCCTCTCATCTGTTCACATTGTACTGATTTTCTTACCTGTAGTATCCATTTCCAATGTTTACGAAAGTGGGAAAGCAGTGTTAGGAAGCAGGTTCTTTATCTGTCTAGAGCAATATCGAGATGGGGGTTTCAATACTTTGGCTCAGATGGGCTCTTCAGGTGTAAATTTTTATATTGGACGTTTGACTTCCTATGTAGAAAGTCATTTGCCTCCTCCTTGCCAAAGTCCATTCTCTTTCCATGGACTCATTAGAGCTTACAAAACATCTTTTCGTTTAGAACAAGCAGTTTGTAGAATGCGAAGTGATGTCGTCCCACCTCCGGATCAAAGGCTTGAAGAGAGATTTTGGTGACATCCCAGTTCCTGTCACCTCATGCTGACCTTCTGAAAAACAAATGCAGAACTGCCTATTTCCTCCAAGAAAAATCCCAGCTGGTGATTTTCTGATGTCTCCATAACAACTTTGAAGATACTGTTTAGGCTGAAAGACTAAGCTAAGCAAAGCACTGGAATAAAGCCAGCATTCAGGTACAAAATTGATGGCAAAGCTGAATTGTTACAGAGGAAATCTATAGAGGAACTCACAAGCAATTAAAATAAATTCAGAATTTAAAATGTAGAAAGCTCATTTCCACATTGGCCTGAAAATATTTGCTTAAAAGTGAGTAAAAGCAACACAGTCCCACAGCCAGACAGAACAGCTTAAGTTCAAAGAAAAGGAAAAAAAAAACAAAAAAAGAAGAAAAAGAAAGGACTCTAACAGAAGAAGATGACGTAAAGTGATTGACAACATGTTGGACAGAATTGCAGTAACAACAGAAAGCTCATTACACGAAGAATTACCATACTTAAAGTCAATCAGATTGAAGAATCCCACGTTGCTAAGGTTGGGCTTGGAGACAGGGCAGTTTAAATGGATTTGTGTATCACCTTGATGCCTGCACAGCAGACCTTGCCAAGGAGAGGTAATGCATTGCACCAAGAAAAGTGTTACTTAGCCATGGTGCTGTTGGATCCAAACTAACTGCAGTTCAGTTCTGTTTCCCCTGATCTTACTTCCCTTCAATGATTCATCAGAAGCTTCTAGATAGCTACAAAATATGAAACTTTAAACGATTTTTGCTTTCAGTAGTGCCATTAGCATAGAAAATTTAAAGGCAAGGTTAGTCATCCACACAGACATGGTCAACAGCCTGCCTGCTCCATGGCACTTTTCCAGAAGGTCTCAGAAAAATCCAGATCAGGTCATCATGCACTGCCTTTCCTGCAGTGCCTCCATGAAGGTGGCTTGATGTCCCATGGCACAAAGGGTGCTGTGGTAACCGTGGTATCATCCCTCCTGCATGGCACTGGAGTCTCCTCTTCCTTACTCTCTCTGTGATATATTATGACAATTTTGTACTGAATAGAAAGTGTGCTGCGTTTAATAACCATTGAGCAGCTCATGAAAACTTAAAGTAGTGAGCTGGCAATGGGGTAGATGTGGCTGGATTTAATATCTTGGCCCAAGCAATCTGACTTGTAATTATCTGTCTAAAATACCCATGTGCCTGGTCTTTCCAGGGCTGCAAATGAGCCTTCTGAAAAAGAAAAAAGAAAAAGTAAATAGTAATATTTGCATAGAAAGGTGTATTTAAAGAGCTCCTTAACTTAGTTTTCCATGAGTAGTAGTGAGAGCACTGCATGTTGTAGGCCCATGTGCATGCTCATCTCCTTCCAGACCATCTCCTTGCAATCCCATGGTAATTCCCTCAAGCAAGAGGAGCTGGGCTCTGTTCCAGCTGCCCTCAGGGCAGGCCTTTCCCAGCACAAAGTTGTGGCATGGCAAGGACATGACATGGAAGAGCCTCAGTGAGACACAGACCTTCAGAAGAACAGGCTCTGTTGAGCCTGCTGACTACGTGACTGCTTGCATCAGTTAGGCAATGTGCCTTGAAGTTTGGAAAGGTAGAGAGACATACATCAGCTTAAAATGTCTCTTACCTGGAAACATATGACATATTACTAACATGATATAAGAGGGAAAAATGCTGGAGGCTGAAATGGAGGGGAATTTGAACGGAGAGAAGTGCCATTTTCCTCCTCTCCTCCTTGACCTTGAGTACATCAGTTGCTCCTCATCTCTGTTGGAGGAATTACTAACCAGTGTTACTATTAGTACTGGACTGTGGATGAAGAGAAGGTGTTCGAAAAGCCCTGTTCAGATTCTGGTGACTGGAAAGAAATAATGTGCTTTTTTAGCTGTTTTTCTATTGCTCACGAAAAACTGTCCAAAGTCATACCTAAAATCTCAAAGGACAGAGCCACAAAATTGGTTCTTTTTTGACAGAAATGGGCTGATTTTTGAAGTCTTAGTGAGATTAAATGTCTTAAGAGCAGTATGTTTAAGAGCTTTTAAACTCCCTTTATCTTTTGGCATAAATAATAATCACCATTATGGTTGGTCCTACTTCATTGTGTTTGGAAAGCACAAAAAAAAAATTAATAGAGACATGACTAATCATTTGCTAATCACTTATCTCTCCACAAATTCCTAGTGGCACAGCAAGAGTTATATCCCACTGTGCCACATGAACATTGCAACTCAACAAGTCTTCTAAAGAATTGTATTTTGGCTTTCCAAACAGCTTATGTAAGGTTTCCTTGGGAGAATGAGATGTGCTCCTAACAGTCCATGAAGAAAGGCAGTTTACCTGCAAGCATGTCACCTAGAAAGGACATGGGAGTACAGGGGGAAAGAGAAAGGGATTGATTTATTTTTTTTTTAATCCATTTTGCCTACTTACTTCTTCACAAGTCTCAGAAATAATCCAGTAGCCTGAGTCCATGCTGAGTCCTGTTTGATGGCAAAGTATCTGAAGGTGTTCAGACACTTCGATGCTCCCGTTTTCAGGGGTATTTTAGTAGATTACTTATCTGACAAACAAATTTCATATCAAATCATCTTTTTGTTGAGGGCAAGGAGGGGAGAAATGAGCAAGAAGAATGACATTTATAGTCCTTTTTTTCACTTTCAAAAACCATTAATCCCCTCAGGGTATCTCATGGCAGGAGCCCAGACCAAAAAGGAGAGACATCCAGTTGTTGGTTCAGTCGTTCTCGTGTCATTTTATTCTGTGTTAAACAAAATATTTTCTTTGGAGTCTCTACTCCTTTTGTACTGAATAACGGCTTTGCAGCACCACATTCTTCCAAGAAAAGTGGTATTGACAGCTCTATTTTAAGCCTCAGAACAACAGGCCAGTAGGATCCCATGAGCAAGGTAAACCTCTGTGGGGAAATCAAACTGCTGAGATATATTTTGCACTACTCAAACATGTCAGCTGGGTTCAGAGAAGCCCAAGATTTTAGAGAGGTGTTAATAAGATAGTCCATCAGATTCTTTACCTCTCAAGAACAGTACCTTTTCATTCTAACTTTGCAAGTGCAGTACTCATTGCATGGTGGTATGATTGGCACGGAATGGTGGAAGGCAAACAATTGTTAATTTCTATTTAATCAGAAAGGGAAGAGTTGGCAAAAAGCTTTAGGCTCTTGGGACAGAAAGGGGTTGCTGTTAGACACTGGAGAAAGACCCTTACAGACAGTTTCTGAAAAATTACACCTATATTTAAAGGGATGCTGTAAATAATTGGTTTCACTTGTTAAGGTAATGTTTGTATCTTGTACTGCAAGTTCCCTTTAAAAAGTAATTCTTGCTATGCATGATGCCTTTGGCTACCCCCAGCATGGAGCAAAAGTGAGTACTGAGAGCTCTATTAAACTGAACAGATAGTTGAAATTTCTGGTAAACTACCAGTACCAAACAGATCACTCAGAAGAAAGGCATGTACCTGGAGTTGTGTAATGACATGAAAATTTTAGGAAGGGTAGAATTCACAAGGAGGAGTAGAAAAGAACTCAGGCACTGCCTACAGCTTAGGAAAGGAGGAGGGATTTTGACCCTTGCTTCTGCAGCCCCAGCCACTGCCCCACCAGCCACCACATCACCCACCATCAAGGCAGTACTTGATGGCCACCATACCTGCTGCCTCCTGGTGCTTATCTCTTCCTGATGAAGCTACAGTGGGCATTTCATCTCTGGGAATATTATGTCAGCTGAGTCATTCCCCGAATTATTGCAGAAAAGGTCAGCCGTGCAACAGCTTTTCCTGGCACAGTCGTGGGAGCTCTTGATCAACTGGAGTGAATCGTGCATCATGCACAACAGCCTCTCACTTCGGGGTTATTTGCTGTGAAATGACCATGATCTTGTAACTCAATTTAAAACGGGTTAAAAATTAATATGTCCACAGATGCTGGATGAGATGAACAATGCAGATTGGACATGCCTGCATGGTCCTGGCAGTGGCCCACTGCTGTCACATAGCACTCATGGGGTGTCCAATCATAAACCTTTCCATGCTTGCAAAAATGGGGTGATGAACTCCCTGCCCCACTGAGCTTAAAGTTCAAAGGCATGTTGGCTAAATGAGATAAAGAGGAGTTAATATATACTGTTAATTTTGAATATATCTTTTTATTTTTAATCAACATAGAATTGTTTAAGTTGGAAGGGACCATCTGGTCCAACCCCCCTGCAGTGCACAGGGACACTCACAGCTCCATCTGGTGCTCAGAGCCCATCCAGCCTGACCTTGGGTTTCTCCAGGTTTGGGGCACCCACTACCTCTCTGGGCAATTTGTGCCAGTGCCTTACCACTCCTACTGTAAAAAAACATTTTTTCAAATCTTGTGATTTGGTCTTTTGATTTTGTTTGATCTTGATCTTGCTTGGATCGAGGCCCAGAGCTTCCAGGTCTTTGGGTAATTCTTCCAGGCCAAAGCTGAGTGATCTTCAGTTTTTTCACCTCTAGTCAATAACATAAATCCAAAGGTTGCAAAGTAGTGGAAGAGTTTGTGATGCTTACAGAAATGAGCATCTGTTTAAGTAAAGATGAACATATTTCTCCTAAAGTTAAGTCTTACAACTGCGTATTGGAAGCACATTAGAGCCATTCTGAGCCAAGCCAGCTCACAGTGCTGTTGGGGAAAGTCTTTTGGTTGACTTGAACCAATGCTGGAGGTGTACCAGAGTCTTTAATTGCAGCTGCACACACACACAAATACAAAAGTATGAGCAATACATGAGCAACAGCAAGGACAAATCTTCCCCATGAAGATGTGAGTTATGTGAGCAATGAGAGTGAAAGGGGTTCCTGTTTTGTTTTGGGATTTTGTGATGGGGTTGTTCACAGTTTTTTGTTTTGTTTTAATTCAATTTTAAGTAACTCCTTTGGAGGTTTGCATTCAGAACTAGTAGAAAACAATGCTTAATTGCAGATTGGCCTCGTAAATGATCATCTTTTCCCCTTCTGCTGAAACCTCCTTGCTATGGAAAAGTCAGGACATAGAAATCAAATCTGTGAACAGCACAGATTGCTAAGTCATTCTGCTGCCTCTGGATCTCCTCATCCCATTCACACAGTCTTTTTCAAGTGGGGGGAGTTCTGGGGGAATTCCAAAGGATAGCTCAAATAAATATTGAAATGCACATCCAGGCAAGCTGATGATCAAAGTAAAACAAGTCCTGTCTTATAAAAGAAGTGTCTAAATGCAGTGTGATATGGGCAGTTATCCCTGACCTATTTAAATGTTTCTGGCCTTGGGCAGCAAAGCTTCATAGGAAATGAAATGAATAACAATACCCAAATGAGATTCACCTCTGCAATGCTAAATATGCTTCAGAGTTGGAATTATATTTTCTTTTAATCTGTATAATCACATTATCTCAAGTGTACTGTATATTGAAAAGAAAAAAGGAATAACCAACAACTTTATTATGCATACCAGCAGTATGTGTTAGGAGAAAAACATACATATATGTATATATACGTATTAATTATTGCATGATGGATATTTCTCTGAATTTATCTTGTCTACTTTACTCTTGAGTTATGGCAGTTCAGGAATACATTGCATTCCCTGGAACTGGGAGGAAGATGAACTTCAGATGAAAGGGAAAGGTAAATAGAAGGACAATGAGAAATTCATCCCAGCAGTGCCAATGCTCAGTCTGAACGTGTTCAAGTGGTACTGCTCTCTGTCCAGCAGCAGAGGCAGCCTCAGAGCTGGGGACACAACGAGCAGCATGGTGACCTTTCCATGCCAGGAGTTAGAAGGTTATTTTCAAAAAGTCTAAATTTTAGCTCCCAAGTGGATGTCTAAGCATCTGGTGAAGACTTTCAATGGGAATTATCACATGCACTTCAGTGCTGCCTGCTATATGTCAGCATCTTCTGCCACCAGAACCTTCATGAGCCTCGTGCACCGCTAACAGCAGCAAAGGATGCAAATAGCAAGAAGCAGAGCAGATTGTCCCCAGCTGACTGCTTACAGCCCCAAAGTTTGGTGAGTAAGTGCTGTATATTCAGTGCTGCAGATATTTCAGTATGAGGCTACGTGATTAGCGATGGTCTGTGGCTCCAGTCTAAATGTCAGGTGGATTCGGGGCATTTGTGTGTCATTCACAATGCAAAAGTCAAGGTCATTAAAGCGAAGGGGCATAAATATGTATACAGCATAAATTAAATAGGGAGTTGTGTGGTGTGGTCCACCCTGTGCTCGGGACATTCCCACACCACGTGTTATCCTCCAGCTTCTGAGCTGCAGTGACTGTTGTGTGCTCTCAGCACAAAGAAAATGTGAGATAAGAGGCATTATTGTAACCTCTGTGGGAGAGGTCTGAGGCTGACTCACCAAAATTCTATTCTAAATTGAACATTTTCGAAAGTATTGTCATGCTTCAGCTAAGTGCCCCAAAACAGAGCAGGCACTTATTCAAAATTAGATAAACAGCATTATTGAATAATGGTGTAATCTCAGGGAAATTACCTCCCTGCGCCCTGTTCCTGCTGCTGAGGAAGAGCAGCACAAGGACTGCAGCTCCCAGCACAGGGCTGTGCACATCCACAGGGCAGGGACCGCTCTGACAGTGGGAAATGAATGGCTTTATGCACAGATGGTGTTCAGAGAATGACGTGCATTCCCCCCCTGCTTCACTTCTGGGTCAGGATGGGGCTTAAGAAGCACATGGGAAAGGTTTTTACTTTGTAGATATCCTACTGGCAAGTGTGGGAAAAATCTCGTTTGAGTTTTCATATCCAATGTTTTAAATTTCGGATTAAAGCAAGAGCTGGGCATGAATTATGTGTTTTGATTAAACATATATTCCCTGGAAATATTAAGCCTTCTCAAATGAAACTATTCAAGGGAATGGACTCATTTTGCTCTAATTTTTAGCTCAGAAATAGAGGGAAAAGTCTCTGAAATGGAATGTTTTGGCATTGATGTTTATTACTTGGTACAAAATGCTGTTCTTCATCTCCCCAGCAATATTAATGTTGGCTGTGAAGCTGGTTGTAGAAAGAAACACTTTAAAGTAGTTGATACAGATGAGGAGTGCTTTAAATAATCAAAATGACTAACCCAGATAATGTCCCATCTTCACGTATAATTGCATCCAGGTTTTGACACTGAGTCCCAGGCCTTCAAATGGGCTTAGGATACATGAGTGTAAGTATAC